TGGAGTCCTGATAAATGAGGGAAAAGTCTTTCCCTAAACTAGCATCACTAAACCAGAAACACCTATGCAATTGTTTTAGCATGTTGTAGGATTTTAGCCTATAGTCACAGTCATTCTTTCTGGTTGGCTTGGAAATTGTTCTCCAGGAGCGTTTCAGTTCAGTTGACATAAATAATGTTTCTCTACTAGTACTTTACAGTACTTTACAGGGAAGAAGTTTCTGTATGATGTAGAAACAATAGTGACACCTTGAAAATAGTCTAACTTGGAAGTGTACTACGAAGCAAAACATTTTTTATCAGACTTGTCTTAAACCAGTTCTAAGAATATTTTGTAGTTAAAAGTATAAAACTATATTTCATTATAGCAGCTGAGACTGAAATGTAAATAATTCCTAAACTAGCTAGAGGAAATCTTGGCAGAATGGTTTTCACTTCCTTGAATTTCTTTTCTTTTTGTTCATTCTTGGGGTGGGAAATGGTGTGCATGTGGGTGTTTGGCTCAAAAAACAAAATGGGTCCAAGAACATAGGCTATCATGTTGTAGCACAACTGCAACTGTAGTTAGTGGCATGATGCTATTGGATTCAATCTTATCTTCCATTTTGTGTTTCGCATATCAACTAAAATCTTCCCCTTTTGTATTTTTCCTAATTTTTTAAAAATTGAAATCAACATTTCCTTTCAGACAGAAGTATCCTGCTCTCTAATGGCTGAATAAATTCAAGCTGGGAACTTAATGGTGAAAGGCATCACCCTTTATTGCATTTCCCTTAAATAGGCTCACTCAGTCCTAACCATGTATCCCTTTTTCACTATGGCAACCACAAAAGTTGTATCTTCATCCAGAAGAATGAGACCACATGGAAAATATAGCATGATATAGTTGAATGGTCATAATACCAAAACATCAGTAGTTGAATAATAACTGAAAATGTAGACAGATGAATAATTATATTATCACTGTAATGGGGAGGGGAAGACTTGTGAACACGTCAGCTGATTTGTTGTAATTGTTTCATCTGTCAACTCCTATCCTGCAGTAAGTGAAGCTAAACTGCAGTAATTTACCTCTGAATCAGAAAGAGGGTAAATTACTGAGGTTCAGCTCCCATTTACCACAGAATAGGGGGCATAACTGAAAGAGTTATAGTACACACTGCTGAACTGTGTGAACGCACCCCCCAAATTTTAAAGCAGTATTAATTGTTTTGTGCGTTTACAACCTGATTATATTTCTGCAGGACTGCAAACCACCACGAGGAGTACACTAAAACCCAGTTTATTTTGATACTGACAGTGGTTAGAGGTTTGCAAATGACCTGCATCCTCTGTCAGTTTGTGGTTGCCCTTTTCAATTACTGATATATTGGGATGTGGTGGATTGTGGCATGTCATGAAAATGTGACAGCAACAAGGCATCCCATCATTTCAAATGTTTTTGAATATTTGAGGTAGTGCCTTTCCACAAGGAATGAGTGCTTTTCAAAAAGAGTTGAAAGGCAGATGTATCCAAAGAAGTGAATGCCGTTAGACCAGTGTTTTTCTGCCCAAAATAATCTTACTTGTAGGAACAACAGCGACCACAATAAAGTTTTCCTCTGACTAGGTAGTGAAAGTAATCTATGTAAATTTATAACATACTTGTGTTAAATTATAATAATAGATGCTAAAAAGTCTTGTGACAAATTTCAGGGCCATTTTTTCAAAAAAAATCCAGAAAATTTTGGAAATCCTATTGCTTTGAAAGAAAAAACTGCCTTTAAAACAGAAAGGGATAAAACTACCTTGTTGACAGGGTAAGATCCTTAAAAGTAAAATTGCCCTTTCCCCCTTTTTCCTTTACTGTATGCTTGCATGTCTACCTAAATGGACACAGATATCTGTTTTCTGAAGAGAGAGAGAGGGAGTACAAAATTACTGGATAAAGAAGACTAGCCCCTCTGATTGAATCCTCAGATTGTAGAATGCTAGCTAACTGATTAACCTTACTGGCAACCTGCTTCCCTTTTCCTTTGCAAGTTATTCTTCTGGGAATGGATTGATTGGTAGAGAAAGCTTATTTATTTGTGAGGGAAAGCTGATTCCGAATTGTTCACTGGAAATCAGAAATAAACAAATAATGCATGTAAATGTATATATATGCATATATTCTCACACACAGAGCTATGTTGTGTGTGTGTTTAATAGCTAAAATCTTTATGCAGTGGGTGGATTAGGAAATGTGGGGATGGGGGTGTTTTAAAAGAATCTATCATAGACTCCCAATGTGCTCTCATTAAGGCACAGTCTATTTTGACTGAATGAAGACGATGGCATTTCCAGAATATAAACCACACAACTAGGATTTTTCTGGGTTTGTTTTAAAAATAGAATAAAATGCAAGAGCTTAAAGAAAGAAATGTGAGCAATGGCCAATCTCAGCCACTTGCATAGCTCTGCCACATTCTGAAGAACAAACAGCTATTAAAATCTGAGCACACAAAGCATGTAGTAGGCTTAGTAATGACAAGCAGTGTCAGCACACTATAATTAACATAGGGTGGTATAATTTATAAGGAATGCACTGTGCGGTTTAACACCAACGCAGAAGGAGGGGAGGAGGGATAGAATCAATTGTTAGTCTGCAAAATCAAAAGTGGCTCTTATCCCTGGATGTAAACATCTTATTTTTTAAATGCTCTTTAATTTTTTCTTTTTTTATTACTAACAAAAGACTTCTGTCATTTTGAGTTAATGCAGTGCCAGGCAAGAGTGAGTCATGGAGATGACCTCTGTCCTTCTGCCACCATATTAATCTGAAAGGGAAAGTCTCAGCAGACTGTTTTTACTGTACATAATTAAGCAATTCTGAATGTTCAGTGAAACTTGAATGGTATGGCATAGAGCCTGGTAATATGACAGTTAATGAGATGAGACTTACACTTATTCTGCCTGTATAATAAGTGAAGGCTTTTGCCTTCAGATTGAGGGCAGACAAAGACTGAAGTATTCATTAATAATGCTAAGACCAACAACAAGGGCACTGTTTTGTGCCTTTCTCTGTTTTATGACTGTCTCCAAAGAACTAGATGAAATTACTTTGTAATTATACTTATTCAATATATGTAAGCTATGACATTTGCACTCCCAGTGAAGAGGACAAGAAAAGAGACATTCAAGAAGCCATTAACAACAAGGGGGATGATTTATACCATATTACCTTATTTTAGGGCCCCAAATATTAAAAAACTGGCTGAAACTGATTAAATTAATTGTGTGTCTGTAATAAGAAGATAATTTTGCCTTCAGAGGGCCTCTATACATTTTTTTTCTGTTGCTTAAGCATATATGCAGAACAAAATTGCTCTATGAGCAGAAAATTCTATTACTGCCACTGGTGTTTGTGTTGTGTTTTTGCAGCAGCTGATGATCTTACTTCTCTAATATTAAAATACTCTTTGGGCTTACCCAGGGAATTACAACATAATCAATTAAAATTGAGCTAATATTGCAAAACAATGCATTCAGTTAGGTAAAATAAAGTATAAATTCTTTTTAGTAGGTGCAATCTCTTTTTGAATAGCAATTTGTTTTAGCAATTACTAAATTGCTTGCAAAGGTGTTCACTAAAAAGAAGGTGTCATGATTCACTCTTGGAATATGCATTTCCATAGTATTAATGGAATCTGTGCCCCTGGTTATTCTGAAGGATTTTGTGTGGATTTGGGGAGTTGTCTTTTCAGGGACAGACATGTCTACATTACCACATGACTTGGGTGACCGAACGCAAGACAAATAGCAAAGATCTGAATTAAGAGACAGATCTTACTGTGGTAAGCACTGTTTAACATGCAGATACATTCTGTTGTGTCTTTTGCTCTTTACATAACAAACCAAACTGAAGAAATCATGGGATGTGGTTTTGTTCCAAGAAACAATGTTTACCAAATATACACAAATATGCCAGCTCTAGTTGACTCCAAACTGCTCTTCTGACTGGTTCTACAACAGAAAACACAGTGATTTCCACCAGGTTTCTCACAAGCTATTTAAAAGGATACTGGCATATTTAAATATATTGCAGAGCCCCTACACCTCAGACCTTAGTCTAAATGGGTAAGACAAGGAAAAGGTGGAAAGAGTAGACGCACAGGACATTTGTACACATGTATGCGATGGAGCACCAGGTGCTTTTAAAAGCGTCCGGTGCTGCATTGCATGCATTTGTATGAACGGTGAAATGTACATCAGTGCTGCGAAAATGGCAGCGATGAGCTTTTGAACTAAGACACATTTAAAGTATTTTGGTTCAAAGGCGTACTGACACCATTTTCTCAGTGCTGACGCGCATTTCATCATTTCTACAAATGCGTGAGACCGGGGCATCTCAGTTCGTGTGTTCCACGGACGCAGTTAATCGAGTCTGCTCCAATGAGCTGGATTTCTGGTGCATCAGAGCAGACAAAGGTACGTGTATAAATGTCCACAGTATATATCTGTGCTGCTGTGACTGTAACCCATGTAGAAATACCTGAGTTAGGTGTAAACTCACTGTCTCAGGTACTACCAGTAGTGCCAGTGCATTACTCAGTACAGAATGCAAAACCCACCTGAGAATTTGGGCACAGAGCCTGCCGTGGGGTCTGTACTACCTTGCTAGCTGTACCTAAGTCAGGTAGTTTAAGTCTGGGCACATCTACACATGCAATTAATTTGAAGCAGTAAACTGGTGCATATTGCACTACAGTATTGCTCTCAGGTGCCATGTTTGCATGTGTGCCCAGGACCACCGTGTGCTGAACTGGGTCAGAGCAGCCATGGCTGGCCGGGGCCCCAGGAGTCAGCCTGTCAGCCCAGGGCTGTTCCAACCCGCCTCAACATGCTGCGCAGGTGCTGGCTGGGCTACAAGAGTGCTTCAGTGTGGGGCTAGCCAGCAGGCAGCCCCCGCACTGAAGCACCCTCGTGCCCCAGCCAGCTGCATCTGCATATACACATGTGTTGTTGCACAGCAAATAACTCCACCATAGGACAGTACTTGTATTTGCAAGTACTATCCTACAGCGGAGTTTATTAGTTTACTGTGGCCCGATAGGGCCAAACATGTAGACGTGGAGACTTTACTGTGGAGCTAATTAGGTAGCTCTGCAGTAAATGTCTCGTGTAGATATGCCCTCTGTTAGGTATATCTCCATAACACACAGTGAGGCATACCTGGGCAACACAACACAGCAGGTCAGTGATGGCTACAGGACTAGAACCCAGGTTTCTTAAACATCAGGCTAGCCTTTCTTCCTCTGAAGAATGCTTTCTTGTTGTTAATTCGTACATTAAAACCCAGCCTATGTCACTAGTACTCTTCAGAAATCAGTTAATAGGTGACTGGTTAGGCAGACAGGGAGGCTGGTCTTTACTAGCTACAGTCACTACTAATCAGCAATTTTCCTTAGGACACCAAAAGCCATTTTCTCCTCATTTTTTATTTCAGAAGTATATCTTGGTATGAGAGGTAGTTCCCTTTAGAATTGTTCTGTTACATACTTTTCTTAGATTGCAGACTGTTCTGGCAAAGGATTAAAACTTGCAACTGAATTACCCTTAAGAAATGCCTTTTATTGTGTAATGACTTCAAGAATGTAATTCTCCCCTCCTCTCCAAGACCCATTTGTTAATCAGTTAGGAAATATTACATGTTAATTTGTAACATACCAGCAACCAAGATTTCTAACTATGAAGACGTGATTTATCCAAGGCTGTTTTGAGACAATGAGCCTACACCCACAAGCTCGTGATTTGAGGCAAAACTCCTATTGATGGCAATAGAAGTTTTTACCTGAGAGGAGGCTGCAGAAATGGGGCCTTTATAATATTTATTTGTATTCCATTGACACCAGGTATGCATTTCAACAAACAGTAACACCCTCTCTCTTTGACGATAGTTTCTCTTTATTATTATACATGTCACAAACAGCAAGTGAATAGGGGGAGAAAATTGAGAGCATTTTGTAATTCTTGAAAGGTTAATTGCACTATTTATAGACCTAACTGTAAAGGAAAAAAACCCTCAGCATGACCCGGCAGGGTCAACATAGTAATAGCAACCTAAATGGAGCTCTGACCAGTCATGAATTACTGTCTGTGATACAGAGAATGCTGACAGTTCAATCACAGCACTGTTTCAATAGAGAACTCCATATATTTAAAGCGCTGATACTGTTTTCCCTCTAAATGACAGGCTTGACAGATGGGCCGAAAGCACTGCAGACGTTTGAACAAGGAAATAGAGAGGGAGCCTGCTGGAAGCAGGGCTTCACGCAGCCAGCCGCGAATGATGAATAGAGTGTGATTGTGTCTGACAGGTAGTAATATAACTATTCATTCACCACAGAACACCTGGAGCACACTATATTAAATGGTACAAGATGGAGAGATTCTGTGACAGGAATAGGAAGTGTGAATCCCACGCTGAGTTTAGGTACAGCAATATAAAAGGTCAAAGGGCGTGCAACATAAACTGCCTCAGAGAAGACTGTAATTAAATTATTTGCTTACCAAAGTGTTTCTAATGTTTTGCTAACATGTTGCCAGGATCATTATTTCAGCATGTCTGTACAGCTGAAATGAGCCCAGCAAATGCCTCTTTGCTAACTACTCCTATTCCATTTTACATTTGGAGGCTCACTAATCATAGTGTCATCGTTACTGCACAAAGCTATGTCACCGAGCAGAAGCCGAGAGGGGCCGAAATCCCTAATGTCATTATAGGGCTAAAACCAGTGTACTGGTTTTTGTCTAACATTTCTGAAGCTTTTAGCTGATCATTTATTAAGGCTTTCTAGGCCAGAATCTGCACCGGCATAATGTCCACTGAAGAGTCGATGGGTATTGCTCTCAGGGGAGCATCTTTCTCCGTAGCACTGTAACCATTGCTGTTATAGTTTTGGGTTTTTTCTGTACTATACCCTTACATTTCCAGAAATTTACTCAGTGCCAGAGGAACTGGATGTTTTGCACAGCCTTTTGCACTAGGCACATTTTTGAACTGGAGAAACTTTCTTTGTTCATCCTCGTTTTGTTATTTTCTCTGAATCTAAAATAAAAATGTCATTCACATTAAAAAGGTATAACCATTGCTTACATAAAGGAGAAAAACCCATAACTCACAAATAGGATTTCATGTTAACAAGAAACCTGCGCGACCATGAGCATAATTTGCTAGACACTGTTCAGGTGGAGAGTTGGAAACCTTAAGGACACTTAACTAAAATATTCCTTTAAATAAAACTTTTCAATTCACCTTGACATTGATAAACTATTTAGTAGTTAAACATTAATGTATGGGAGTATTTATTTGCAAGAAAGGCAGAATAAAGTAAGTCTTGCTAATACTTATGCAAATGCATGTTTTTGTGAAGGTTTTACCTGAAGTGTACATGTTACTGTCAATAGCATAACTAACATTCCTAAAAGTTTATTTTTGACTTGTATCTAATTATTTAGTAGTTCTAAAAATGTCATTGCAAGATGGTCAAGATTTGGCTGTTGAAGTCATGGACACTTAAGGAATATGAAAGTCTATGAAGTATATTTACAGTGGGATCTTGTTGCAAAAAAAGCCAACAGCATTTTGGATTGTGATAACAGGAGTGTCATTTGCAAATCAAGGGAAGTGATTCTTCCTCTCTGTTCAGCACTACTGAGGCCTCACATGAAGTACTGTGAACAGTTTTGGGTCCTATACTTCACAAAGGATGTGGAGAATTTGGAAAGAGTCCAGCAGAGAACAACAAAAATGATTAGAGGCCTCAGAGGCAAAACTTACATGGAAAAGCTGCGAGAACTAGGGTTATTCAGCCTGAAGAAGGGAAGATAGGGAGGGGAGGATTTGATAAATGGTCAGATACCTGCAGGACAATTATAGAGAAAATGGAGATGGGCTTTTAACTGTAGCCATGGGGGCCAGGACTAGGAGCAATGGCTTCAAGCTTCAGGAGGGCAAATTTAGGTTGGTGATTAGGAAAAACTGACTATGAGGGTGGTCAAGAATTGAACCAGGCTACCTAGAGAACTTGTGAAATCTCCATCTTGGAAGTTTTCAAGAGCAGGTTAGACAGACTCTTGGCTGGGATGGTACAGTTGGGAACAATGCTACTTTGAGCTGGGAGTTGGAGTAGATGACCTTGTGAGATCCTTTCCATGCCTACTTTTCTATGATCCTATATAACTACCACTTTTGCATATGTAAACGAAGGCTTTATAGAAATGTAAGCAGTGAAGCAAAAGGAAAACATATGAGCTCAAGAATTTGTCCTGGGACAAATTAAATTAGCTCAATAGTGTTGTAACCCATAACAACATTTTCATCAGTGCTGATGTTGAAGCCGGCATATTTCACATTAATGCACTTTAAATAGAGTTGGTTGAAATTTTTTGCGTGGAACAGTTTTCTGATAGAAAATGCAATTTTGTCAAAATTAAATGTTTCAGGGAATATGTTGATTTTGATGAGGGTGGTTTTCTTTATTAGAAAAGTCAAAATGAATCATTCTGAGTTTTGTGTTTTTAATGTCAGAACATTTCCTTTAGATAAGATAAAATGTTTCACTTAGAGCTTTTGTTTTCAATTAAATTTATATGGACTTTAGGGACTTGTATATTAAAGATATGTTATTTAAATGCGATATCAATGTTATGTCTAATAATTATATTACTTCAGCATTATAGACATTTTACCTTAACCAAAGTAAATGTGTTGACATCAACTAAATACATTGTTTGAACATTGAAAAATAAAATTTCAGTGTTTCCAAACAATATTGTTTTGCATTTTTTATTATGTAGGCAATTTCTAAATGATACTTTTCCATTCTGATTTAAAATGAAAATAGATGTTAGAGTTTCCTTTGGAAAGGAAGTTTCAGTTCTTAACAGCTATTGCAGTGACCTTGAACCAGTAGCAGTCACTTCTGTTTTAGGGATACATTTGCTATTCAGAATACTTGCCCTGTCTGTGAACTTCCAAACACATTTCTCTGTTCTTTTTTCTGGACTGCCTTTGTCTTCATTTGTAATTATAGCAACCATTTATTACTGCACTGCAAAATCTCGGTTCCACGGATAATTGTTATAAAGACCGAGGATGGATGACTTTATTAACTACTTTATTCAAGCACTTAGACAATTGCTTGATATATCTTATGCAAAATAATCATGAGAATCATATTTCTAAATGTACAGAGTGTCACAAGTTCTGACATGTCTTAGAACGTCCTTGTGATATGAAGTATTGCTTGTTGATTTTACATGGGAAGATGTTCAGTAGCTTTCGTCTCAAATTAGTTTTGCTTGTCACTTCCTTTATTCGCAGAATTCTCTGACTGCATCAGTTACCAGCTCAGTGCTCCCTTGTGAAAGCAGAGACACCAGGCTTTTTTTTCCCTTTCACCTTCTCTTTTCCTTTTCTTCACAAATTTGGCCAGTGTAAGGGAGACTTAAAAGAAAGGACTGCAGCAAAGGGTGAAACTTTTGATGGCACTGAATTTCTTTTGGATGAAAAGTTGGAGTTTTAAAGTGTCCCTTTTTAAGGAGAACAAAATGTAATACAGAATAGCTCTATTCATCCTTTCTTTACCCACTGCAAAGTAAAGACACTGCTGAAGGCTTTAGCCAGAACATCAACATATTTGGCCTTTGTGGGCTGACAAAGGCATTACCACTATTAGCTAAGCCTGTTTAACCACCATGGTTGAACCTGTCTGGGACTATTTCCTCTAAACGCTTTCACAGCTTCTTTGTCGGACTGGCTACTGCTTTACCCATTTATTGCCCGAGGGTAGTGTCTTTGACTTTGTGACTGGATAAATAAAAAGTCCACCACCGTAAGAGATGGACAAGGAATAAACAAACAAAAATGAAACTGTATTGGGATGCAAACATGAATCTGAATTTAAAAAAAGCAAAACACCAAAAGGATTTTTAAAGGTTCAAAAGAGTTTGTTTTCTTTTTGTCTATTAGTCAGGGTAGGGATATCCTATACAGTTTTAGAAATGCATATTAAGGTTGCACACAATTTGACAAAAAGTTCTGTATAACAAAGGCTTTCACTCCCTAGTTTAACGCTAGCAAGTTTAACAAACAAGCCACAGTGTACATAACAGCTTATTGTGTAAATTAATGAGAAGTACTTGCTTGTAAATATCATTTGTCTGTTTCTCTTCAGGGGGGTTTGCAAAACTAAGAATAGTGGACATTGTATCAGCCAGCCAGCCACACCTTTTAGCATGAGAGTTGGGAAGGTGACTATATGCGGTTGAGGGTAACTGCAACATTGCATTATCACATCTTTAATTAACAAAGACACAAGAACAATTTGTTGCCTAATATAAAAGAAGGTTTTTTATTTCCCCCACAGGGTTAGGGGAAGCAGGGATAGGGGAATCTATGAGAGTGACTACATACACACACGCACGCACGCACGCACACACACACGCACGACGCTTACTGTGTGGTAGTCTAATAACACTACGCTGTAGTGTGCCACTCGAAAACCATGCTAATAACCTACTGCACAGTGTTTTTAGGCTACTGCGCAGTTAGTGTCACAAAAAAACATGTACCGGCCCTACTGTGCAGTAAATGTAGTTACTATATATTCAGTTAGTACTTTATTAAGGAGGTACTAAACTAAATGTGCAGTAACTACAGCACATTAATGAATGTGTAGACATGCCCACACATGCAAAAATTGCTCCCAGTCAGCTCAGGCAGCAGGACATTGGAAAATGGTCCCTGGCCCTGGGCAGCTGTCCTCTTCCCAGTCCTGCACCTTGATCTCTAACACAGCAGAAAGACTAATGAGGACTGAAGATTATTTTGGACTGTTTTGTTGATCTCAGAAACCTGTAACTGCTCCTTGACTGCCTTTGTTGGCCTATACCTCAACAAAGGGCTAAATAACCCATCCATTATGCCACCAGTTAGAAAAGGAAACTGAGGCACAGCCATGTGACTTAGCATTGAAGAGATAAGAAATCATAGAATCATAGAAAATTAAGGTTGGAAGGGACTTCAGGAGATCATCCCCTGCTCAAAGCAGGACCGTCCCCAACTATATCATCTAACCCAAAGCTTTGTCTAGCTGGGTTTAAAAAATCTCCCAGGATGGAGATTCTACCTGTTCAAATTCTTTACTACCCTACTAATGAGAGAGTTTTTCCTAATATCTAACCTAAACTTCCTCCGCTGAAACTTGAGACTATTGCTCGTTGTCATCTGCCCCCACTGAGAACAGTCTAGCTCCATCCTGTTTGGATCCCCCTGCAGGTAGTTGAAGGTTCCTCTTACATCCTCCCTTAGTCTTCTCTTCCCTAGACTAAATAAGCCCAGTTCCCTCAGCCTGTCCTTATAAGTCATAGATCGGTGTATAGTGAGGAACTCTTGGTGACTGAAGGATAGAAGTACTTAAAGTCTCTACTTATGCTACTTTCCTTGTTTCAAAACTTTCAACATGTTTTGCCTTAACATGGAAGATACTGAAGAGTTGCTTGTAGTTATAACTTTCGACGTCTTGTTTGTGGGTTTTTCCCCCGTTGTAGAAGTTCTATAGGAGCAAGTGCTCAGGCAAGTAAAGAGAACAGGATTCATCATGCAGCTCCATGTGAGGCAGCACAGACTGGATATTGCCTATGGCACTGGGCAAGGGTTGAGCTTTGATCACCTGATCTTTTGACTTCTCAGTCTCTTACAATGCCTCGTTTTTATTACCTGCAAACAGGAGCTCTGAAGAGTACACATCTTTTCAGCATTCTCTGTGGTAAAGAATGGCATCAAGAAATCTATTAGCTTCTCTGAAATGTCTTTATCACTCTTTATTGCTGCCTTTTTTCCTCTGTAGTCTACAAGGTCCATCAATCTCTCAGACTTCCTACTGCTGATAAATAATTTCTTATGTATTTTTCTGTCATTGGCTTTTCATCCTTTACATTTCTCTTTAGTCCTCCTAATTTCCATCTTACATTTTACCTGTCCTCTTTTCGGTCAGATTCATTTGTACTGGATTTGCAGTTTCTGAAGCGTTCATACTAGGCTTGAATAGCCTTTTGAGCCCTGTTTTTTTAACCATACCATCTTTTGTTCTTCTCTTTGTGCTTCAGTTTTAATTTAAGGATGTATATCTCTTCTATGATTTCAGGATGGTGTATTTAAGTAGCTTAATCACCAATCAAAGGATTTCAGTTTTCCTAGTTTTGACTTTCTAATCT